ATGGAATAAATCATTTTCTCGTTGCATCATTTCGTGTCTTGTATACTTTGAGCTTTTACAATAAGATGAATCCATATGCATGTATCAAAAAAGAAAGATAAATCCATGAGACTTTTCCATGTTGCATACCACCTTTTGACAATTTGTTTGAACAAATACCGTATTCAGACCAAGTTCCTCAAGCCAGCTTAGTGCTCTCAGCAATGGCAAAGCTTCACACACTCATGGGGGTTAGTGGTCTCAGCAACGCCACTTTTCTCATTGCATTTTATGGTATCCCTTACTGGTGGTTTCCATTGTGTTCGAGTGAGGGAATCAAATCGAGGAGGATGGGTGTTTACTTGTTGCCTAGCCTGGGTCCATTCATTGAGACTCTCCTCCACTCATTACAGATCCACACATTGACGTTCTAGAGCAGCATTGCAAACTCGAAGGTCTGTTTGGTTTCTCATTTCTGCAGGACGCAAAATCTTAATTCTTAAGTTTTGGTCAAATTAGTATTTTAAAATTAAAAATATTAAAAATAGATTAAAATAGAAGGGTGATTATCATATTAAAAGATAATTGACATATCACATTATCAATTATATAAACCGACAAAATTGTAATGACTATAGAGATTGAATGATTTAAAAAAGAAAATCAAAATATAAAGATCTTTTAGAGTGGTTTTAACCATAGGGACCAACAATTAAAACAAAACAAAAAACGTACTGGGAGATTAAATATAATTGGATTGAGTTAATTCAAATTTGATTTTTTTTTTATCTATTTCATTCAACTCATTCCAACTATAATTGACTTGGGTTAAGTAATTTAGTTAAATAATATATTTATAAAATTTAAAAATATATAAAAAGATAAGAAATTAGTTCAAATTTTAATACATGTCTCAATTAGTTACAAGTGACATTATAACATGATGCACATCATACACAATACTAATAAGAAAAATATAATGTCTCAAACAAACAACACTAAATCAATAATAATTATTTGAATAACATAATAAAATTTAACAAACTAAAATTGAAGAGGTGACTATGAAATGAAATTATTTTTCTTTGATTATTAGATTGTTAATCCAAATATTAATTGATGTATTATTTACGTCAAATTCTATGTGTTTTATATGGTATATATGAGATAATTATTTTTTATTACTATTACATTCGTTCAGATTAGCAATCCTAACTCAATGATAATTTAGTAAAACAAAAAGTGTTTAACTCGATTCAATAATTCAACCTTCAACAACTTTAAATGTAGAATTGGATTAGGATAAATCAGGTTTACATGCCAATCCCAATCCACTTCTGCCTATCTTATTCAATTATTTAAAATGGCTTTGATTTTTTAAATTTTATTTTCAAAATAGAAAGTATTTTTTTTTTTGGTGTTGTGAAATAGAACGTATTTAAATCAAATGTTTTGTTTTAATTCTTTTTAAAAAAATATTTTTTATTATATTTTAAAAAAAATTATGTCTCGTGTCAAAATTATGAAAACTAGTTTATAGTATGCTTAGTCAATATTATGAATATTTCTTTTATATAGTTATAATTTATAATAAACAAATATTCTTAAATATTTAGATTATATTAAAATTAAATTTTATTATAAATAATTTGTTAAACATATAAATTATATTTTAAATTTATAATAACTAATTTATATTATGATATCAGATATTTGTAATTATTAATGTTTTTTAAAATATTAGAATCAAATTTAAAACTCAAAACAGAAACTAAATTAAAAAAAGCACGAGAAATAAGAGAAATAAATGAAAAATGTACTCGTTGAAATGTAAAATTACTCTCATTTTAAATAATTATTTTAACTTATACATATAAAAGAATATTTGTATTTCTTGTTTTGAGTTATGAAATTACGTGTATGTGATTATATCAATATTACGTTATTATTATTATTATTATTATTATTATTATTAAGATATTTATTGTTGTTGTTATTGAAAATATTATTATTAAAATTATGATTTATTTATGTTTTTAGTATTTTAAATTTAGGATATCACTTTTTGTGTTTCAATTTAAAATTTATGTTTTCAGTCTTGTAATTTTTAAAAATTATTATTTTAGTTTCTATATGTTTTTTTATTTTTAAAATTTAAAATTTGTATTTTTAGTCTTTAAAATACAAAAAAATATTATTTTAATTTTTAAAATTTAAAATTTATCATTTTAGTTCCTATAATTTTAAAAATATGATTTTAATACTTCGTAGTTATGAGTAGCATAATTAACAATAATAAATTAAGACAATTTTATAATATTAATTGAATTAATTTGATATTTTCAATGCCAATGATATTGACAATAATATAATTGATAGTAACAAATTAAGATATTTTTGTATTATTAATTGGTTTAATATGATATTTTCATTGACAACGGCACTGTAAAAAAATCACGTGTTACATATTAATTAATAACATTTGAGTAAAGGATTGAAATAATATTTTTTTATAATTTAAAAATTAAAAACACATCTTTTAAATTTGAGAGACCAAAAACTATATTAAAAGATTAAAATAATTTTTTTAAAATTACATAAACTAAAAAGATAAATTTTTAAATTTGAGAAACTAAAATAATATTTTTTTATATATATATTAGGGACTAAAAGCACACGTTTAAAATTTTGGGACAAAAATTATACATATCTATAATTTGAATAACTTAAAAACATAATTAAACCTAAAATTATTATTATTATAATCACATTCATTTGGACCTTGTGACCTTGAGAGAGATCATTCTCATTCCACTGTGCCTTTTTACTATGTGAAGTCTCACTGAGACAACCATACTACAAAGTAATTAGAAATAAGACTCTCTCCCTATGTTAAATCAAATGGGCTTACCATTTACTTACCCATTAATATTAATAAATATTAATATAATTATCAAAAAATTTGAAATCAATATTACAACACAGTTTTATATGTTTGACATTTAATTAATCTGTTTTTTTATATATAAAAATAACAACATTGACTATGATGTACACAATAAAATAATTCAACAATCTTCCACTTAGATAATATAAGTCAAATTATTATATTTATGTTAAAATTAATACTTTAGATTAATGTTACAAAATATGACTACAACAAGATGTTAAAATATAATTAGCACTTTCAATCAACATATTCAAAACAAGATTGTGAGTATTTTAATACTATAAAAAATCATACCTAATAGGAGTATTCACACCATATATAAATAAAATATTAATGTCTTAGTAGCCTAACCAAATTAGACACCAATTATGGAGCAACAAACAAAATTATGCTCAATTATACAATTTCAAAATAGAATAACCTTGATATTTATCCAAGATGTCCAATTATTAAGATAAATATCTTAATATATCAAAATTAGATCGGTTCAAAATGTCTTCCATCAATATATATACCATAACATAAATTCTCAAAAACTTAATTGTTTTGTTAAATAAATATTTAATTACTTTCTTAAATAACATTGTTTTTTCCTTCTTTTATGTTAAATTTTCAATGACTGAATTTGTTTTTGGATATTTGATTAATGTTTTCATCCCCACAAAAAAACTTAATTGTTCTGTTAAATAAATATTTAACTACTTTCTTAAATAACAATGTTTTTTTCTTTCTTCTTTGTGTTAAATTTTCAATAACTGAATTTGTTTTTGTAGATTTGATTCATGTTTTCATCCCCAACAAAGAATTCTACATCCTAGACAACCAATGCTCCAATGCAAGCCTAAGAATAACCTTCACCGATCCTTAAATGGTATTAGTGAGAGTTTTGACATCATTGAATGATATTTTCTTCACATTTTGATAATCTTTAACCTTTTTATGCTAATCAATAATTTTTAATTAATACATTTTTTTAAAACTATGTGTACACTTTTTACTAGGGATGGCAATGGCCCCATGGGGGCGGGTAATAGTAAATCCGCTCCCGCCCTGCTAGATGAAAATTATCTCCATACCAACCCCATATCTGCGCGGATATCCATTGAGCGGGTATCTATGAATTTATTGAATACCCACAGATATTCATGGATATCCATGAATATTTATAAATTTTTTAAAAAATTAAAAAAATTATATTACAAATAATTTTAAGTCTATATTTAATGTCATTGAAATATTAAAAATAAAAATTTAATGTTAATTTTGAACTTGTATTTAACGTTAATTTTGTTAAAATAATAATAAAAATGTAAGATAATCAATGACTTAAAATACATCAATCTCACAAGTAGTTAAAGTCTCATCACAAAGCTACAATAATTCAATCTCATAATTTTAAATGAAAGTAAACAACTTAAAATACATAAATTTTATTGGTCCAATCAAAGCTATAAAATTAAGCAAATTATATCCAACATAATTTTAAAACATGTTTAACACATGTTGGTACATCAACCTCACTTTTGTAAGAAAATAAGACGAGAGAGTGTACTTTTAGAGTTATGTGGTACAAGAATAATTAGGATATTTAAGAAATATTATCAAACGGGTACCCGCGGGTATGGATATCATCATACCCGCCCCCGCCCCATTTATAAACGGGTAAAAAATTATCCGTCCTCATTATCCGCAGGTACCCAATTAGCCTATCCATTTATTATCCGTAGTGGATTTTACCCGCAAATACCCACGAGGACGGGTATTTTTGCCATCCCTATTTTTTACAAAATATTTATATTTTAACATTAATTTCAAAAATTGAATTATCATATAAAAATATTTTCAAACCTTTTGTTTTTGTTTTAAACTTTATCATGTAATTTTTTTTCCTCCAAAGTTTTTTTGAACTTCATAATTCTTAACCTTTTTTAAAACATAATTATATTTTCTATACTTCATAATTTTATATCTTTATTCACTATTTTTTTTTATAACTTTGGACCAAACATATAATTAAGGCAAAATTAAATAAAACTAGATTACACTGAACCAATTAGTAGGTTATTTTTGTAGCAACAATCAGTCCTATTCTTGTTTGTGTTTGGATTTCTGAAATTTGCTCACAAAACCTAACAGTACCACCAACTCAAGTGGTGGTTGTTTTCCATTCTTCATTACACTTTGAGGTTCGAAAACTGCACCGAACTGCAGTGTAGTGTTCTTAAGCATGGCAACGCAACCGAGCGATGCGGAACTTATAGCCACCTTGCAAGCCAGGGTCAAGGTACTTTCATTCAATTTTCCATGCTTTCGGTCAGTGTTGAATATAAAATCCATTTTCGTTGTTTTGTTAGGTTTAGGTGGTTTTGGCTTGCATTTATGCTGCGGTTTTTCCTACTGATTTTTTATTTATACTATCAGGAATTAGAAACTGAGAATGCGAAGCTGTTATCTCAACTTGCTGATTGCGGCAGTCACGAGGTTAGCTAGTTAAGTTAACTGTTTCGTTGTTTTCTTAGCATTTTTGGCATTTGGACCACAGTGATAGTTTTCAGCCTGGAAAAATTAACCAATGAAAAAGAAAGAGAAAGGGAGGGAACTGCATTCTTCAATGAATTTTGTTTGAATCTGTATTGCAGATGGAGAAAAAATTACATGTCCCTGATGAGAAAGGCAGGGAGTCAAGAAAAGGCAACAGAAAATCTGAAGAGAAGATAGAGAAAAATTCAGGTTCCTTTTTCTCGATATCGTCTTTAGTGTACTAGTAGTAGCACCTGTGACATGGGTGTTAAGAGGAAAACCCTCTTCACTTGTTGTGGCTTCTAATGAAAGAAACATGACTTATTGTTTAATCTTGTTAGAGATATCAGTTTAGTAGAAAAGAGCGACAAATTTAAATTAGCTTTTACTTCATGATACAGGCTATAACACAAGGTTTATGAGTCACCATAGCAAGAGATATGTGGCTTTAAAAGTCATGTACTTTGGTAAAAGGTATATACTATCACTGTAATATCTGGCTTTGTTTTCTGCCTTAACCATTTTCCTTAATTGATTTTTTTCCCATTTTGTATCCCTTATCATTTTGCTGTCTTGGTTCTTTATACTGTTGGTGCTAATTGATTAAATTCAATATGATAATTGATATTAAGGTTTTCTTATTACTTGTCAAATACAGGTTCTATGGTTTTGCTTCAGAGGCACAAATGGAACCAACAGTTGAGGTTTGTCTTTTTCATAAACACAAGCCAATAATTCTCAAAGAAATTGCATAAATTGATCATGATTACCATGAAGCAGAGTTTTCCAAACTATCACAAATAATTTGTTCTGGATGAAGTATTCTGGTTGTCTACTGTGAGGATAGTTTTGTAAAACCATTGCATGACATTGTATGTGAATGCCTCTGTTTTATTTGATTTATGATTTTTATTGCAGTCTGAACTTTTTAAAGCCCTTGAGAAAACAAGGCTATTGATTGGTGATAAGAAGGAGTCACAGTATTCAAGATGTGGTCGAACAGACAAAGGAGTTTCCTCTGTTGGACAAGTAAGTTGATGCACAAAGGAGTAAAAGAATAGAGAGACAGTGCTTTCTATTAGCAATGACTGATACAAGACATGATTAAGAAAAGCTAATATGACAAGTTGATTTTTTCATTTTTATATTAAGATACTGCACATTAACAATCATTGTGCTTCTAAAGAGTAAAGACCTCTATGGAAAATGCAATGCAAGAAAAAACGAGGTGCTTTTACAGAGCACTTCAATTGAGATAAAGAGGACCAGTGAGGAAATTTCTAAACAAGTTCATACATTTAAAATTAATATTGGGGCTCATTATCTTTGTGGGAAGACCTATGGGGGATTTATACTTTTCTCAGGATTTCATCATCTCAATTGACTTTCTTCCCTTATATTCTATCACATGCAAGGTTCCATCATTTTTCTTGAAACCTGAATGAAGACAAGTAACTGAATTGGAACATCTGCTATTGTTGCTAGACTCAGTACACTTGTATTCTTTAAATGGTAAAGAAAAAATGGATCCTCGATTCTTCTGGTCTGTGTGCATGGAGATTATTTTTCCAATTTCTCACAAATTCTCCAAACCATGAGAAATTATCCTTAAAATAGCCGCTTTGGAAAGCTACACTTCCTTTTAAGGTTTTAAGTCTTTAGTCTGGACGGAAGTTCTCAGTTGGATCAACAGTGAATACTGTATCATAATATGTTGCATCTGCATTGACCAAATATGGCTTCATCTACAAGTAGGTTGTGATGTGTTATTATAGGTAACTAGGATGGAAAGAATACTTATGCAGTTATGCCTACTATTTAGATCCCATGTCAACCAGACATATGGCCATTGTGTTCCTTGTAAGGCTTGGGCAGTTCTCACTACTCACCTTACTAGTCAGTTTTGTAGGGTATTTTGAGCTTTCGCCACAGCATCTCTATTACTGGGTCCCTCTCCCTCTGATTCTGAATGTGTGGTTGTCATCAACACTCTGATGTTTGTGTCTACATTGACCACCTGTATCCAACAATTGTGTGATTCACTCCATCATATCTCAAAGTTTCTTGACTTGAACATTTTGGAGGTTGAAATGTTGAATTCGGTTGCTTGCATATCTCTGTCCTAATCTGATCATTTAGAACACACCTCATGTTTTGACTAGGTGCATCCCTTCTCTTGGGCTTCCTCTGATAAACCTTACTTATTTTGGCCTTGGGTTCCATCATTGTATTTTGGAGTGGGTAGTTAAATATCAGTGCCCAATTTCTAGTATTCCACTATTCTCCTGTTGATGGAAAATTCATTATTTAATTGGTTCTGACAATGACAACATTTTGAAGCAGGTGATAGCTCTTTTCCTAAGATCAAACCTCAAGATATCTGCAACAAATAATGGAAATTCTGGAGTTGTTTTAGATGAACATGGTTAGCAGAACAATCTTTTTAACATATAGCCTTTTCTTTGTTGCTTTCATCATTTTCTTTCAAGGACTTAATCTTGTTTACTTTTCTATTTTTGGCAATATCCTGATCTTTTCTTGTCATACACAGTCTGGTATTGATTTTCCTTGTTTGCAATTTGCACACTTATGCATCTCTAAGTGAATCTTATAGACCACTGACGCATCTGTAATATAGGAGAAGAAGAAAGGAGGGTGTAAGTTTATGAGAGAACAAAAGGAATGATATTGTGTATGTTTGGATGCTACTTTGAAACTCTGTTCAACGAAAACACATACGTTCCGATGCAGAAAAAGTAAAAGTTTGTGAGTGTAGTTTTTTTTTTTTTTTTTTAACCCTAGTTGAGGGAGTTCAACTCAACTGGTTCTCAAACATACCCATTATAGGAAAGTTGGTGGATGATTCTGTTTGAGGAGAGAGGAAGGAGATTTGGGTATCATGGGGAAAAAAGGGGTGAGGGGGAAAAGAGCATGCAGAAAGGTTATGGAAAAATTGGTATAGGTTTTGAGGGTAGACTGTGCAACCTGTGTGACAGTCATATTTTCTTGTTCTTTCCTTCAAATGTCTATTTAAAGAGGTTCAACTTTATGTAAGGAGCCTTTTGTCCCTTTGTTTCAGTTAAAATATACTCAGAATTTTCAGTTTCTATCAAAGTTGCACATTAAATCAATGAAATGAGTTAATGCATGTGAAATTAAACATGTATTCATCAATTTGATATTACCATTGAAAATTCATTTCATAATTTTCTCCCTGAATTTTATATAATAAATTTAGAACTAAAATCCAAGTGCTGGGCCGGGAACCAAACAATATAAATCTATATACAATCAATAATAGTTGTGGTACTAATATTTGATTTGAATGACAGTGTAATGTTGTATTGATGTATGGGTTTTATTTCCCCCTTTCTCTTTCTTCCTCTATGAAAGATTAAATTTGCAAATGGCTCCAATTACTTTTTCTTAATGCTAATACATAATTAGGGAAGTCCTTTCTCTGAAATTATAATTCTGACATGGTTCCTCCTATTCAGCATTTCAGCTTACATAATAATCTCATTTTTTTCCCCTAGTGGAAGGAGGTCAATTCAGTGAAGTGAGGAAATTTGAGTTTTTCATGATATTTGAAATTTTGAATCCTTATTTCTCATAATAGTTTTGAAGGTTTTAAGACCAGAATTTAAGTTTTCCATACCATATTTGTATTATTCTAATACATCAATAGGGTATACAATCAACAATAGGTGTGGTACTAATATTTTATGGTGTTATAGGTTGGGGCCTAAGCAGGTTATACACTATTTATTATTCAGATTCACGTCCATTGAGTTGTATCTTGCTGATGCAAAAATGGTGGATATGTCATATGGTTTAAGCCAATTATAAATGTAAATACAAATTTATGATATTTCTTGTAGTTTTATAATTACCAAGCTATGTTCTTAGCCTATGACTGCATTTTATATCATTTGCATGTATGTGGAAAATTATATAGCTTTATTTTCTCCTTTCATAAAACCAACCTTTTATTTTGTAGAAGGGGAAATTGATTATGTGAGGGTGCTAAATCGAGTCCTTCCAAATGACATTCGAGTTTTGGGTTGGTGTCCTGCTCCTGTTGATTTTCATGCAAGGTTTGTATGCATTCTTTAAAAATTTGCCTTATATGACGATTAAATTATACAAAGAATAATGATAGCAATAAGCAATGCTAGGCAAAGGTAACTGCTTTCCCAGTATCCTGCATAATGGGATGGAAGCAATTGTGGCAACACTGGACATAGGTGTGGTTATCTTCCAAATACTTTTTGGCTGCTATATGTCCCTAATATGAGATCTGAAATTTTGTTCCGTTCATAAACTCTATCTATTGTCATCCCTAGCCAAATACTATGAGTATTTTTTATTTATTTATTTTTAATTTGCACATATGTGGATGTTTATACCCTATTATAATATCTTGAATTGTTCTATTTTGTTATCATGTTCCTTGTTTTCTTTGTCAATACAGGTTCAGCTGTTTGAGCAGGGAGTATAAGTATTTCTTTTGGAAAGAGCAGTTGAACATCCAGGTAGGAAATCCATTTTCCTATATAATTTCTTTTTCTCTTTTCTGTTTCCCATCATTTCAAAGATTTTAGAAGCATGTGAACTGTATACACTTCTCATTGGCTTATGTCCCATTAGGCCATGGAGAATGCTGGAAACAAACTTGTTGGAGAACATGACTTTAGAAACTTCTGTAAAATGGATGCAGCAAACGTGCACAACTATAGGCGGCATATCATGTTGTTTGATATTTCTCCTTCAGATGTGAGGTTAAGATTGGTAGACATTTTTCTCACCCTCAGCCTTGTGTTTATGCTCATTTTTGCTGGCAAGAAACCAACGCTTGAAAAATTTATGCAAATTGGATGTTGCAAATGTGCACCACTATTGGTGTATTGTAGCTTATCCTAACATTCACTGTATTTTGAATTATGTGAAGCTAAGATTGGTGGAAAATTTGTAAGTTTTTGGGCTTGAAGTCAACACTTTTCCCCATTTACCTGTAGGTACAATGGTAATCAACTTTGGGTGATTAAAATAAGAGGTAGTGCTTTTCTATGGCATCAGGTCCGCTGTATGGTTGCTGTTCTATTTATGGTTGGCAAAGGTCTTGAATCTCCAAATGTGGGTACCTGACACCCTCTTATATAAATCACATTGAAAATTTGTTTGTTTGTTGCTTTATTGGTCCTATAGGCTTTAAAAGTGTAGATAATTTGTTTGATTGCCACAATAATGAATATTGGCTCTTCTAACATTTTTGTAGATGATTGTGGCAATCAAACAAAATCATGTGAATTTGTTGTGTACAGATAGAATTAGGATGGTATTATTTATTTCCTTTTTTGGTACATTTGAATGAAGAATTATTTTTTCCCGATTCCTAGGCCCAAATAAATACAAAATAAATATCTTCACCTGATTTTTAGCTCCAAATTAGTACTGAATATCTTCTTCTAATCCTTAGTTCCAAATCAGTGTATCAAATCTACCTTTTATCTCTATTTATTTACCCTCATTGTAGCAATTCCGTGAGTGAGAAATACAATTCACTTTTTCTATATGGTATAAGAGCTTGATCTGATCCCTCCCTAACTGCAGTGCCTGCCCTACCATGGAAAAATCAGCGTGTTTTCCCAACTGAAGGGTGAGACTGATGCATTGCTGACCAGCTCAACTGAAGGGTTTTCTCTTCCTATTACAGCCACAGGCCACAAATTAAATGGCCAAAACTTAATCCCATTTTCCTCCAAGAAAAAGTAAAGTAGGGGTACGTTACATCTTAGGAGAATGCAAACAACCCCTATAATACACCTCAAGAAGGAATTTTCTGTAATGTTGTGGCATTATAGACTAGGTCACCCCAACTTAGTACCTAGAAAAAATGTTTCCTTCATTGTTCAAAAAAAGTCTTGAGGAATTTTCAATGCAAAGTTTGTCAATTGTCCAAGCATACCCACACCACTTATCCCTCTCAGTCATATGTGCATTCACAACCATTTTCCTTGATTCATAGTGATGTGTGGGGACCATCAAGGGTCAACAGTGTTTCTAGGTCTAGATTTGTTGCTTTAATTGAAGACCACACAAGAGTCACTTGGGTGTTTCTCATGAAGGAGACATTGGAAGTAGAACGAATATTTAAAATTTTCCATTCAATGGTGCAAACACAATTTCAAACATGCCTCAAGGTGCTGAGAACGGATAATGGTTACAAATATTATCATTCCATGTTGAACACATACTTCCATAAACATGGAATAGTGCATCAGAGTTCTGTGTGGACATCCCACAACAGAATGGGGTGGCAGAAAGGAAAATTCAACATCTTTTGGAGGTGACAAGATCACTCTTGATGGCCACAAATGTATCAAAACAATTTTGAGGAGAAACTGTACTATCTGCAACTTACCTAATAAACAAAATGCCTTCCCGTGTCCTTAACTTCAATATCCCTCATTCCACTCTCCAGACCTTCTACCCAACTAGCAGAATCCTAACCTCAATTCCTTTGAAAGTGGTTGTCTGTCCAGCTTTTGTCTATGATCTAAACCTTCACTGTAACAAACTTGATTCCGAATCCATCAAATGTATCTTTCTTGGATACTCACCTCAACAAAAGGGATACAAGTGCTCTCCCTCAACTAGAAAATTATACCATACAATGGATGTGACATTCTTTGAGCATCAACCTTATTCCCCCAAAATTGGCATTCAAAAGGAGAAGATACCAATTCTAGCTGTACACAACAAAATTGCATGATTTTGTTTGGTTACTACAATCATCTACTGAAAGCATACAACAGGATTGGTGATGTGATTTGTGAAGATTGCTTGCATTTATATGGCATGTTTGCCAAGTTAACTTCTTGAAGCCAATTTCATTTAGGATCTGATATTGATATTTTTTGTATTGAATAATAGGGGTTTTGTGGGCATAATGGAGGCAGCACTCACCAAATATGGAAGTGTTCTCTATTTGTTGCCCTGTACAAAATGCCATTATGATAAAAATTCTGTTAATGTCGTTCAGCATAATTGTTTTTACCATCTGGATGTCTGAATGATATTTTGATTGTCCTCTCAAACAGCTGCAATCATACATCAAACAGTTTTAACGTTTGCACAATCAACCATGGAGAGATCCCTTTTCTTTTGAGAATATTTCTATCTTGTATTCCCTGACACTACGCATTAGCTGTTTAGCATATCCTACATTATCAGAGGATACAACTTAATCACATGGGGGATATAGACCTTTTTAAATCTTTGTCTCTTTGTTAGGAAATGGTATTGCCTTCTTGCTTAAGACACTGTCTCCTAGGGATGACAATAGGATTCAAACTGAATGGGTATCCATAAAAAGTACCCATTGGATTTTGCCTAATAAATGGGATTGGGTTTGGATATGGGTAACTATCCACAAAATTTAACATGTATAGGTGTGAGTATGAGTACTGTACTACTCAACGCTACCAATACCTGCATAGTATGATAGTATATTTATTATATTTTACAATGATCTTTATAATTAACATTAGTATTATATTATCATTCATGTCTTATTAGTTTATCAAACAAATGCATAATGGTAGACCACATTCAAGTTATCCATAAGGGCATGAATCCGGGTTTGAGTACAGAGATAGACATTATAGTACCCTACTTAAAATCTTACTCATTGTTATTCCTAGTGTCACCTTGTCTTTTATTTATTTTCTTTTTTATATTATCACTAATATTTTACCCTATGCATTTAATAAGCTATATGTTTATTATATATAACTAAAATTTATAATTAATTATATATACAAATTAATAGTATGCTTAAATATATAAATTGCATTTAAAATTTGTATAAATATATATTTTTAAACATAAATTACATTTAAGATTTAAATAATTTATATTGCATCAAAAGATTATTTTTTATTATTGATAATTTATTTTAAAAATATTAGAGTTTAATGCATAAATAAATATAAATAAAGAATTAATTTATACTAGAGGTTTAAAAAATTTCTACAAACGTTTCCGTTGAAGAATAACTCCTAAAACTATTCTTGTGTTAGATAGCTGTTTGCATTTAATATATAGAGATTGATTACATTGTAATATTAAATCTTACAAAACTTCATCTCCATATGGATTTCTTGTTTTGTAGTTTGAAATAATAAGTTGTCGTCTTAAATTTGAAGGTGATTGATATGCTGCTGGACACTACTAGAATCCTAAGGAAACCTCAGTACACTATGGCTTCGGAGGTTCCGTTGGTTCTTCAGTCCTGTGAATTTGACGACATTAAGTTTATGTGTTCATCAGGTATTTCTGATTTGTAAGGATTTTTAAGTATGGTAACTGACTGGTTTGTTGGATTCCTTTCTGCAGAATTTGTATTAGTTGATTAACATAGTAGTACTATAAACTTTGGTTGCATCTAAATTCCGACATCTTTGCTTGCCTATTGGGTCTTTTTTGTTAGAAACTTTGATAACTTGAATTTATTTAATTGATTGCTTATCTAGATGCGGGAGAAGCGTTGCGTGTACACTTGGTGAATGAATGCCAAATTTACCAGCTTCAAGCTGCAGTTTTTCATGAAGCTCTTCTTAATTGTGTGCCTGTTTCAAATGGTGCTGCAAATGCGTTAGCAAATTACTTCCCAGTTACTGCTTACTTCTATTTACAGTGATTTATGATGCTGATAACCCTTCCTTTTTCAGATCAAAGGTTGCTTTCTTTTCAAGGATCCAAGAAAAAAGTTTCCCATATCCCTCTTATGTCACGACCAACTGAGCGTGAGTTCTGTCTTCTGCAATATTATGAAAGTGTGTAAAAATTACTTGGGGTCTGTTTGGATAAAAGCTTCTGAGAGTTTCTCTTTTGAAAATAACTCTATTTTCAGTAGAAAAATATCCAAACAGGCTCTAATGCATGCTATAAATGGAATGTGAATGCGTTGTTTTCTTCTAAGCTCCACACCAAATTATTTTTCACAAAATATAATTCTTGGCTCCTCCACTCTGATTGCTTTCTTACTCTTGTTGAAATAAATCTAGCATCATATGAAGAGCGCCGTGCCAAACTCAACACAGGTGCATGAAGATTTCATCGGTCATCTCCATTATATAATGTGTTTGGGTGAGCATTTGCAGACTTCTTTTTGCATTATCTTAATTTTGTAAATTGATTTTGGTTAAAAGTGAGTTTGAAGTGAAATGATTTTAATACAATGTTATTTGAATATGTTTACAAAAGTCATTCTTAGATGTGTAAATGGTCAATAATGGGTATCTAAATAAATACCATTAAATTAAAATTATAATATTAAGGGCTACTTTTGTCGATGCAGGCACTACTGTTTTTTTATCCCGCTGCAAAATTAACAAAATGTGCTTCCATCAAAACCATGATTTGGAATGCGGAATTGATTCTGTACAATTTACCAAACATGTTGGCAAAATAAACAGGGCATGTTTGCATGAGTTGAATGAGCTTTACGTTTTTTTTTCAAACATGGACTAAAGTAATTCACTTTCTTTTTTATGCTTAGTTAGAATATAGAGCAAGCTATCCCAATTATTAATAAGAAAATCAATGGCTGAAAGTATTTTTATATCTCTTTTTATATGTGGATACAATAGTATATAACTGGATAGTGTAATTAGGAATTGAGTAACTGATGAATGACAGCAAATAGCAGCAGAAGAATGACTCCTTATAGAAGTCTACTCAGAACCTGAAGGAGAAATCGGATTAGAATGCAGAAAAGAAGCAAGAGCACATAAGCTAGAATTATCAGAGAGAAGCATACCACGCTCATAATGATCTCACTCCACAAAGTCTTCCAATAAAATATTCTTTCTCCTAGGCCTCATGCTTTTCCTCTGGCCCATAGTTCCCAGATCTGCTTCCACGTGGCCATTCCTTATAACTAACTTTCCATCCTCCAATTCAGTATTTGCATATCCCTTTCTATTATTTTGCTCATGTTACAGAATGCATATTTTGGTATATCTACTATTGATTTTCTTATAAACGATAGAGATTATTTACTTTATCTTCACTCGTTTTAAAAGTGTCAAAACTTCCAAACACGCATAGACCTTCAACATGTGTGGTGTTTTTAAGCAATCATTTTTGTAGTGTTATTATAGAAACTTTTTGGTGTTTAATAGTATCTAAAATATTCATGTTTTTTACTTGTTAAGTGAAAAAATAAATTTTGGTTCATTGGAGTATCATACAATAGTGTTCATCTTCACACACGATGTTTAAAAAATTTGATATGTGCTTAGCACTTATTTACTTGTAGTCATATATATCCAAACAATTCTTAAGTGCATAACAAGATAAAAAAAAAGTAGGGTACTATATTATTCATCTTAGATGAAAATTATATTAAATATTTAGTTTAACGAATTAACCAAATCTCATTTTATTTTTTTTATCAAATATGAAAGTACAGGAAAGTATTTTTTATAAATAAATACTGATTATTTCTAGCATTTCACTGTCAATATTAAAAGAAAAATTCATTCAATTTATTATTTAATATAGTTAGTATCAGATAAAATTTGTCATTCTTAATCATTATTTCTTTTATTTTACCCTTTCACTACTTTTGTATTGAATTTCAATAGTTTTTCTAACATAATAGTTAAAATAAGTTAAATTTCTATGCATTAGAAAATTAAACCATAAGGTTTGTTTGCTTAATTTCCCTTCAGTTTTGGTGAAATTCTCCGCACGGTGCCTCCCGGGCCTCTCTGAGTTCCCCATGACGCGAAGGCCCCGATGCACGTGCCAAATCGCCGCCGTTCGTGTTGCAGTTTAGCCCCAATTTTCCACGGCTGATCTGTGTCAAAGTAACGGCCAAATTCCCCTTTCAATTCTTTCTCTTGCCTTTTGATTTTGCCTCGCTATACCTTCAGCTTGTTTTCGAACACCTCTGAAACCCAAGCTAGTCCTAGAGGCGCAGATTGAACCGCGATTGTTTTCGCTTGGGCAGTGACTCCGTCCTTGTTCCTCTGAAAACAATCGTCACATTATTTATTCGATTTAGAGTTTTTTTTTTTGTTGGAATTAACTGGCGATGATTTTGTATTATCCGCGCTTCTGAGTTTCGGCACTGAAGCATAATTGGTTCAAATGGTTGAATTTCTTGATATGAGCCATGGTATGATAATTTTCTTTTAAAAATGTTTTTTTGTTGTTATCTGTTTCAATATGTTTCTACTTTAGGAAGTGTGTTTGATTTTTAAAACTTGGCTATGATGATTTCTATTCAGCTTTATGCCAGTTCTGCTTCTGAAAATTTGTGATTGATAGAGCTGTTATGTATCTCTGAGCCTTTCTCGACATTGTTCTATCATTTTTTTTGTTGTTTTAATGTTTGTTATTTAATTGTGTAGTTAATTGTTTAATTTAATAGCTGGGATTTATTATTTTGTGATTTGGTAGTTTGCTGTTCATGAGGTTGCTGATGATGATATAATCCAATTTGCTTGAGGTGTTGTGGATCCAAGTCCCTGTTTTCAGGATGAACCTACTTGGTGAAGCTACATTCATGTGATAACAAGGGATTTAACTGAGGCATTATACTCTGTGAAATTGTGTTATAGATTTAAGTGATTTAATTATTATTATTTAGTTCCCAATTTTGAATGCTTTAAAGTAGTCCGTAAAGCTTTTGGTAACAACATGTTACAAATTCACCAATGATGTGACAATCCAACTTGCTAGGGATTGTAGTTGATCCAAGACCCTGTTTTCAGGGTGAACCTACTTGGTGTTACTACATTTCCAATAGCATCTAGGAACAATCTGAGGTTACCTAGTATTTTTGCAGTTGTTTGTGTTAAAGTTGTGTTGGTTAGGTCTATTTTTTTTTAATCCAATTAGACTTGAGTTTTAACTATACCCTGTGCCTATTTAATTGGTTCTGGGTCTGAAAAACTCATAGATTGAGTGTTGTCATCTGCTTCGTCTCTTGTTTAACCCACGAGATAGGAGTCAAATAACAGCACTACATTTATTTTGAAATTATATATAATATTTTTTTTTTGTTTTTTTCTTTTCAATTTGCTCAATTTTAATTACCTTTTTTTTAATTATGTTTTTGAGTGCTCATATTGAATCGGAATTGGTACTTAGTTTCTGTTTTGTTTCCATTATTTGAAAAAATATTGTGGTTGCTGGTGTTTTTTTTTACCTTATGGTACAACAGTGGGCTGATTCTGTTGGTTCATGTTTATTTATTTATTTTTTTTGAAAGCCTGCAAATAGCCCATTAGAGCTCGGGACGAACTTTTATGTTCTATCATTAGTTGCAGGAAGTGTATACTTTAAATGAAGTTCAGTGGTAAAACTGACTAACCGAACTGTAATATTTCTGTTTTTCTGCTTGTGTCTGGGATCCTTGGCTTAGTTTTGGTGATTGTTTCATACACGGCCTTAGCCATATATCAGTATTCGAAAATGCTTTCAGTAGGGGAAGAAGTTGGAGAAGTTAAATCAAGAGAAATGAGGCTTCCAATCCCACTTTTTGTTGCTTTAGCTATTGGCTTGCGAGTTACTTCTAAATGGGCTAGTTATTGGCACTTGGCACTTGATATAGATGATTGCATGAATGCTTGGAATTAGTGTATCAGATTCTGAAGAAAATGCAGTTCGGTAGTTTATGAAGTTATGGTAGTGAATAGTGTATGACTGCTTTTGCATGCTTTGAAATGGGGCTGGGAATCGCTTGGCTGTGC